GATCTGAACTACCATCGTTTAAAATGATTTGGAAATTGTTCCTTTTTTTTCTGCAACACTTGTTATTTCGTTTAAGTCACCCGCCACTATCTTGAACATCTCGACTAATACCCCATAACTCATACCACAGCTCATCTCTTTGAGCAACTATAATAACCAAATAATCAAATGGAGTAATTGGGAGTTATGTAGTGATTAAAAAAAGGTAATTAGATGAAACATCTAATCAATGAATTGAGTCACTTTTTTGGGGTAAAAGTGCAAATAGTAAAAATTTTGAGGTAAAAACATAATTAGGCAAAATTACCTGAAACTTAAAAATAATTCAGTGAAACCTATTTGGTACCCGTTGGATTTCATTGAGTGATGAATTGGGGATATGTTATGAAAAAGGGGATTGTTATTATCTTAGTGGTGGGATGATGAACTTGGCGTGTGTTGCTTGAGAAAAGTGTAAAGGAAAGATCATGGATGATGTAGACATGTTGAAATCACTATGATAATGTATCATTGATGGTTTAGGGTTCAAGATTAATTGGGGGTTGTAATATTTAGGTTAAATGTTGTGATTGGAAGAGGTTGCTTTATATGTTTATGACATGAGGAAATACTGATCAGAAGGTAACATGAGCTTGGGACGTGATTATATAGCAAGTATGCTGTGAAAATAGAGTTTTTCTAGTTGGTGTCACAAAATTAATCAATTACTTTTGTGTAGTAATTAATTACTTGATGGAGAATTATGGTATCCGATTACTTTTTGAGCAGTAATCGATTACTCTTGCTTGATGGGGCCAAAACCTTCTTCTAATGAGTTGTGGTGCCTTGTTTAAAGGTATGGGACCCTAGGGGAGTTGACCTAGTTCCTTCTACCATGTTTTAGCATTTTCAAAGTGAACAAGCAAGTGGTAGTTCCATTTTCAATTGGAAAGTATAAGGATGAGGTGTTATGTGATGTTGTGCCAATGCAAGCTGGGCATATTCTCTTAGGGCGTCCGTGGCAGTTTGATAGACTTGTAATGCATGATGGGTACACCAATAGATACTCATTGGTTATGAATAAAAAAACCATTACTCTTGCTCCTTCAAGTCCAATACAAGTGTATGAGGATCAAGTAAGGTTGAAAAAAGAGAGTGACCAGAACAAAGAAAGAGAAAATTAGAGAGAGAAAAGAGAGTGAAAAACATGTTTCAGGAAGTGAGAAAAGAAAAGATAAAAAAAAGGAGAACTTCTTTGTGAAAGTTGGTGAGATTAACAAAGCATTGGTCCTAAAACAGCATATGATTGTATTCTTGTATAAGGAGGCTTGTTTTAACACTAATGAAGTTGATTCTTCTTTTCCTAGTGCAATTATTTCTGTTTTGTAGGATTTTAAGGATGTGTTCCCTGAAGAAATACCCGATGGTTTACTACCAATAAGGGGTATAGAGCACCAAATTGATTTCATACCAAGGGCAACAATTCCAAATAGGCCAGCATATAGAACCAACCTTGAATAAACAAAGGAACTCCAAAGGCAAGTTAATGAGCTTATGCAAAAGGGGCTTGTGCGCGAGAGCATGAGTCCATGTGCTGTTCCAGTATTGCTTGTGCCTAAGAAAGATAGTTCTTGGAGGATGTGCGTTGACTGTCGTGCCATCAACAATATCACTGTAAAGTATAGACATCCCATTCCTAGAATTGATGATATGCTAGATGAGTTGCATGGTGCATGTGTTTTTGCTAAAATTGATCTTAGGAGTGGATATTATCAAATCAGAATGAAAGAAGGTGATGAGTGGAAAACTGCATTCAAAACAAAATATGGGTTGTATGAATGGATGATTATGCCATTTGGTTTAACTAATGCACCCAACACCTTTATGAGGTTGATGAATGATGTTTTGCGTGCATTCCTTGGAAAATTTGTGGTTGTATATTTTGATGACATTCTGATTTATAGCATAAACTTGAGTGAGCATGTTGAGTATTTAAAGTTTGTTATGAATGTTTTGAGAAAGGAAAGATTTCCAGTCCAAAGACGTTCCAAACTGCTTCCAAAGGGTGATGGACCATTTCAACTGATTGAGAGGATAAATGATAATGCCTACAAGCTTGACCTTCCAGGTGAGTACAAGTTAGTGCAACATTTAATGTTTCTGATTTATCTCCTTTTGATGTAAGTGCAGATTTTAGGACAAATCCTTTTGAAGAGGGAGGGAATGATATGAATAAGGAGACAACACCTAGTGATCCAAATGGGCCAATCATAAAATCAAGGGCCAAGAAGTTTAAAGAAGCTTTTAGTGGGTTAATCCAGCAAATATAGGCTAATCATGAAAGGATCAAGTCCAAATTTATTCATAATCAGAATTTCGTTAATGTTATCAATGCAAGGGAGGTTGAGTGGAATAAATAGCAATTTCCAATGTCAATTAATGCGTAGTGGGGCTGATAGCATTTTCAATGTTATTAATGTTTAGTGGGGTTGATTAACATTTCCAATGTAATTAATGTTTAGTAGGCTGATTAGAATCTTTTCCTTTTTTCAAGTTGTCAACTTTAAATTAGTGTTTTTTCATTTGCTAGTCTTTTTCCTATTCTTGGAGGGATGTTCCAAGTATAAATAAGGGAGGATATAACTCTTGTAATCTGATTTTGAAGTTATAATATAATAGAGAGGTTTCTTCTCTTTGGTTCTTATCTAGAACTCTGAACTTATCAAGAAGTTGGTTCTTATAGCGTTCAAATCAGACTTATCACTCACCTTCTTCTTTCTTGAGTGTGACGTCTTTATCCTTCTTATAGCTTTGGTTCTTATTTTCCATAGATAACGGGTCAAGGTTCTTTATTTCTTATTTTAAATTACTGATTGTAGAAACGATCCTAACTAAATTGACCTTGGGTCTCATTATTCTTGGTGAGGTTCATATCAACCATTGAGGTGGGGTAGCCAATATTGACAGAGACATAGTGTGCCCTTACACAATGTTAATAGTTTTCATCTACTCCGTCATATGAGGAGTAATAAACTGGTCTAGCATTTCGATCAATTAGGTTATGCTATTCTAGCTGACAGAAGTAAGTGATCCAAACTCCTCATGTTTAAGACAATCCGTCAAGAAACAAAAGGTTCTCTCCACCCAATTGGCCTACCCGTCGACCTTACCAGTAAGGGGTTGTGATCAAAACACGTCATAACCAGATTGAGCACATATGCTTCCTTAAACACGCCTTTTTTTTTCTCTGCAACACTTGCTATTTAGTAAAACCACTCACCATCTATTTTTCACTTTATTAAGTCTTATTTTATTAATTTCTCACAAAATAACGTCATATGTTTCTTTCTTTATGTCATGCTTTTAGTAACAAACTTATTTTCTTACCAAAGAATGTAAGGGTTTTCAAAGAATATCTTCAAAGGATCTCAAAATATGTCGTCAAATATATTCATTTCTTATTTGAGTAAATACCATTTTTGGTCCTCAGTAAATTTTATGATGTCTGCTTTAGTTCCTAGCAAATAAAAAGACTATTCGTGGTCCCTAAGAAATTCAAAATGAATCCATTTTAGTCCTTTTGAGGGACTAATGTGGGTCTTTTTTGAATTTGTGAGGGACCACGATTTCAACTAAATGGGTCCATTTTGAATTTCTTAGGGATTACGAATAGCATTTTTTTATTTGCTAGGGACTAAAGCGGGTATCGTAAAATTTGCTGAGGACCAACAAAGGTATTTACTCTTCTTATTTTATACATCTATTAAGAGACGCACATTTGTACATCCTCATTTTTTTATTCTCATTTTATGCTTACGTTGCTTCTATGCTAGCCAACATTCCACTTGGTATAACATTATAAGTCTTATGGTTGTTCTATAAAAATTTTCTTTTAGCATAAGATGAATTTTGTGATCATGACACAAAAATCCTTATATATTGTGTCATTTCATCCAACCTGCTCTAAATTTATACTTAGGTCCTCATCAATTTCTCCATGTTTTGCAAAATTGATCCGAGATATTTAAATACGTCAATTTACCACTATTTTATGAATTACTCTAGCAAACTCACGATCTTAATAATAATAAAAATGGTGCCCCAAGTAAATACTTTTGTAGTGAGATGTTTTAAAATAATTAAAATATATATAATTTTTTATTTTATATGTTTTAAATAATTAAGTTTTAACGAAAAATAAAAACCAAAGTGAAGAATTCCATTATAATACTATAGATCTACATTAAATGATATTTTATGTTTTTTTTTAAAAAAAACTTTCATTATTCTTTGAGCTAAATCTTCGGGGAAACGTGTGATGGAAAGATTCTCAGAACCACCCGCAAATCAAGCAATAACAAAAATAGACAATTTGACGCCTTGAAGCCCTTTTTTCATTTTTGATAAATTTCAAAGAACTATTTTGACTTTACTTCATATATATCCAATGTAAAAAAAAAAAAAAAAATTGTCAGGAAATTCCGATATTCCTTTCTATAAATTTTAATTGATTTGTCTATGAACAAAAAAGGTTGTTTTATATGATCTCATGCTATATAAGACAACATCACTTAAATATTGTCATTCCAGAAAAGTGAGTTTCCTTAACCACTTAATCAACTTCCTTACCATTATTTATTGATTTAAGAGGTAAGAAAATTGGTAAGTAGTAAGAAACTTGTCCGAGCTCAGGGAAAAATAACGTTGAAAGAGTTGCCTTATAATCTAACAATGTTCTAACCAAACTAGTTGTATTTTTTTATGGAAATGGATGGACAGGTTTGAAAAAAAAAAAAAAAAAACAATGCACCAACTTCCTTGCCTTTTTAACTGACTGATGTTTATATATCTCTACTTTTATCACCGTCTTGGGGAGATTCTTTTATAGGATGGACATTCTAGCAGTGAAACATTGAAGAGTTGACTAGCTCCAATTGATATGAAAAGTCTTATAGTGCAAACAAGAATTTTCCAAAAACATTACAATTAGGAATGGTATCTCACTATCTCCTTCAAAGCAATGGTAGACTTATTGCCTTAATGGGAAGGAAGTCTCAAGTCTCAACCACCACAAAGCAGAGAACTCTAAGAAAGAGGGGAATGACCAACACCTTCATAGTCCCAAGTCATCTCTCTGTTCCTTGAGTAGCTTCCAAGACTTATAATTCTCTGTACTATCTTCTCATCAAGTCTCTTCAAACAAACAACAACCCCATCATGGAAAGTCCTCCTAGATGCAAATTCACAGTGATTTTCATCATCATTTCACTCTCCCTTGGCTTAATTTCCTTCATCTTGTGTATAGCAGCTGAGATAAAGAGGAATAAGGTTGTCCTTAATATGCTCTTTACTTAAGCCTTGCGGTTAAGAGATTTTGCTTTTATCTGAAAAATGCTTTGTGTGTTTTTGCAGGAGGAGGATCTCAGATGGAATGGGAAACTATGTTCTTTGCCAACAAGCCAGGCTTTTGGATTGGGTATTGCAGCTTTGGTTAGCTTCTTCTTTGCCCAGATCATTGGAAATTCTATATTACTAAAGAATTGTTACTCCCACTCTAAGATAACTGCTATTGCAAAGATTCTGTTTTTGATATCTTGGTAGGTTATATATGAATCTTTTGCATATATGTTATTAGTTTTGTTATTTAGTATTGGCTCTTGCTAGATGATCGACCAGCACCCCTACTCTTTATAATTGATTTGTCCTGTGGAAACCCAGAAAACATTTTTCCTATATAAAAAAAGAATTAATAATCTTGAGATTATGCTTTGGCCTTTGTAAGTGTAAATTCTAAGACTCAAAATGGTAATGTCTGGCAGGCTTAGCTTTGGATTTGCAGTTATTTTATTGATTGCAGCCACAAGCATGAGCAGAAGGCAACCCTATAGTATAGGATGGTTGAATGGTGAGTGCTACCTAGTCAAAGAGGGAACTTATGCTGGATCAGCTATATTGGTCCTAATTACGGTGGGTTCTATAAATGGTTCAACTTTCTCTTCAATATAATCCAGCCAAGCGGATCAGGATCAGAAAGTACAAAAACAAATGAAGTGACATTGTTTCAAACCATGCATAAGAAGCAAACAACATCATTTTTTTGGTTCAAACCAATGAGAAAAGGAAAAAGAAAAAGGTTTAGAAAGAGGAAGAATTTGTCAACTGCACCTAGACACCTACAAGTTGCAGAGGGCAAAATTTCAAGGTCAATATATCATACCAATGAGAAGTTTCTTGAGGAATATAATTCTTTTATTTACCAATTATAAAAAAAAAAGGTATCAGAGCCCACTAAAAGTTACTAACTAGCTTATCCAATGTCCAAAGGAATAATATTTTGTTTTTTTCAACTTGCACGAAAGAGAGACACTTCATTTGTACACATTCTATCCGAGTTGGTGACAACCTCATATAGTAACTCTTTTTTGGTCCCACTTGCATACATTTTCTTTTCTTATTTAAGCATTGATTTATGGATTATATGATTAATCTGATTATACTGGACAAGACCACAACGATAACAAAACTCTCTTAAGTATTCTAACATAGCTGCACATCCAAAATCACTAATTAAGCTGGAATAATCTCGTGTCAGTTGATCCATATAATTGGTAGTTTTCTGCTTACATAGATTAATAGTTGTTTAATATTCTTATGTATTTATATTTTCTGACTTCCAGTTTATTTTTAATTCTTTTTTTCTATATTTTTTTATATTTTCTTTCATTTCTTTTTCTTTTTCTCTAATTTTTCTTAAGCCCTTAAATGCAAGACAACAAAGACCCTACGCCCAAGTTATGTGGAGTACAAATATGAATCTAATGACCACTCATTTCAAATCTATACATCAGTTTTTATCTTGAAAGGAAATGTAGATTACCTCAATAAATGCAGAAAAACAACAGCATGTATTTAAGAAAGGAATTGAATTAGAAATAAGAATTTCCATATTAGCTTTCTAAAGCACGCGCAAATTGCTAGATTAAGCCAAGTACACCATAATAGAACAAGCATTTAACTTAATCAATTACATTGGCTAAGGTGAAAACACTTAATTCACCAGGAAAAAAAGGTGGAAATATTTACTGAAATGCTGATCTACAAAGAGAATGTAAAACAAATTCAACATGACAAGAAGAAAGAGCATGCTACAACATCAAGCTCTTGAAAACCTTAAACTAGGAGGCTCCATATGCTTGGTAGAAAACATCTGTTGCTGCTTAATTATGACATATGTTAACTTTCACAATTATCACATATGTGGATAACCTCAATCACCAATAATAATAATTATTATTATCACATATGTTCACTGATATATAATAGAAGGATTATATTAAAAAAATGATTCATTTGTAAATGTTTTAAAATGAAAACATAAAATTGTTATTTTTTTTATTTTTTTTTTTGATAACAAAAATTGTTATTTTTAAAAGACCATAAGGATATTAAAACTTTTTTTTCCTTAATTTGTATTATGATATATGATTTTGACGCAAACATATATTTGGTTTGGTATAAACACATTCTAACTGTATATATGAAAGTGGGAATATAACAATGACAATGGCCATGGATATATTATTTGAAAGTTATTAATGGCAATCATTTTTACTAATATTAAACCAGAAAGGTTATGAAAAATTAAATGAAATGAACCGTGCTAGTTAGTCACATAAAAGCTACTTAGTTGAAAGTTATTAATGGGAATTATCTTTACTAATATTAAATCAGAAAAGATATGAAAAATTAAATAAAATAAACCGTGTTAGTTTGTCACAAATTTGGAAAGCTACTTATTTGAAAGTTATTAATGGCAATTATCTTTTACTAATATCAAATCAGAAAATATATGAAAATTTAAATCAAATAAACCGTGTTAGTTAGTGACATCATATATATTAAAAGTTGATCTCCAAATATTCTACTTCTGATAATAGCTTATCTCCAAAGGTTTAATTGTTCATCGTGGTTTATTTCAGAAGATTCTAATTCTAATAATATGGCTTATCTCCAAAATCAAAATTGAAATTCCGACAGTGCATGTTTTTAACTATGAATCGTTCATTATAAATTGAACAGAAACTCGTGCACTTACTTGACCGTAAAGATTGATAGATAAAAACTTATACTCTGTTCCAAACCCCTGCAATAGAAACCCTGCTTCCATTTTCTCAACTTTGTTTTACCATCATGACTCAGATCGACAACAAAACTCTATGGAATTTGATAGGGAAGAATTCAAATTGGGAGACACGTCAAAAGATGTTTTCCAAACCCTTTAGACCCAGCTCTTAGGAAATACCTCTATCACGCCTTGCACCATAGTATTATAACAATGAAGAATTGTTTATAAAACTATTTTTCAAAATAAAAGTAGGAAAAAATCTGTTTGGTAAAATTATTTTTCAAAGAGTTATAAAACTTAAAAAATAGAAAAATTTGCTTGGAAATTTTGTTTTAAAAACATATTTTCAAAGTTAAAAACAGAAAACTCGTTTGAAATGGACTATTTTTTTTGTTAATCTCATTTTATAATTTTTTTAACCATATGTAAAATTTTAAATACATATTAATAAACTATATTTTTAACACAATATTTCTAGATGCTCTGGTTCATATATATATATATATATATATATATATATATATATATATATATATACTTACTAAGAGATATTATGAATTCTAAACATATCTATTGTTATTGTTATACAGTGGTTGGAAAGAAATGATGGAGGAAAGTACTCAAGATTTGGTAAAGCCATCAATAATTGAAGTAGAAGAAGGTCTTCTATCACCTCCTATGGATGAAGCGGTTCTCTTGACAACTCAAAATGATTCAATGGAACTCTCACAAGTATTTACTTGTCATTTTCCCTTTCTTCTATTCACTTTTTATTGGGTTTAATACTTAGAAACTAACTTCTACTTCTCTTGGTTCGACGTCACAAATCTAAATTTTATAAGTTCTTTGATGGAATGGATGATAATGGAAGTGAGTTTGAAGATGATTTGTGGAATGATGAAACATATGACAAAACTAGGGGGCAAAGCTAGTAGAGTCATTGGTTGAGAAAGATATGAAGGAATTTATGGAGTCTGCTGCACCCGATGAATTAGAGTCATTGGATAATAGTGACAATGAACAATCAGAATACCCTGATTTCAACGCAGATAATGCAAATAAGGATAAGATTGAACTAACAGTTGGCATGAAACTTGCCAGTGTTTATGAATTTAGGGAGGTTTTGAAGGAATGGTCAATTTCTCATGATTTTGATACACATATGTGAAAAATGATAAGAATAGAGTAAGGGCAATTTGTAAGGTGTCTAATGATTGTCCATTCTTAGTACATGCATCATTGGTTGGTGGAGAGAGTACATTTCATATCAAAACATAGAATCCTGAGCACACATGTCCAAGAGAAACAAGAAACAAACTTATTACTTCCAACTACTAAGGGAAAAAATTATTGGAGGATTTTAGATCTAATCAAAAGGAGCCAATAATTTGTATGAGCAATCGAGTGAATAGAAGTCTTGGTTTTGAGATTGGGAACAAGAAGAAAGGCAATGAAGACCAAACTTGGTGCATGTGCAACAATTTGAAGTGACTAGTGCATATTGTGAGGTTATTCTAAAGACAAATCTTGGAAGCGTAGTTAAGTCGTGTATTGAGCCATAACCTCCAGTGATGGTTGATGGGTTAGTGAAAGAATTGTCTCTTAGATTTCAAAGAATGTATGTCAGTTTTCATGCAATGATAGCTGAACTCATTGCAGGTTGTAGACCAATAATTGGTCTTGATGGATGTTTATTGAAGACACATTTTGGAGGTCATCTTCTAAGCGCTATAGCACGAGATGGAAATGACAATATGTTCCCTATTGCTATAGTTGTTGTGGAGGCTAAAAATATGGATAGTTGGACTTGGTTCTTGACTACGCTTCTTGATGGGTTGCATGACATTGATCCTACAAACTTAGTCTTCATGTTAGACATGCAAAAGGTAAATAAAAAATGACAATTGACAAATAAAGTTAATCCTACAAACTTAGTTTTCATATCACCTTTATGTTTTTATTTTTTGCAGGGTTTGGTTCAAACATTTGATAATATCTTGCCTAACATTGAACATAGGTTCTGTCTCAAGCACTTATATGAAAATTATAAGAAGCAATTTAAAGGTAAACAATACAAAGACTTACTCTGGCAAGCAGCCACTGCAACCACTACAAATTCTTTTGAGCATGCTATGAATAAGCTACAGAAAATGGGTGATGGAAAGGCTTATCTGAAATGTATCCCCCCAGATCATGGTCAATATCACATTTCAATTACAAGGCAAAAACTGATGTTTTAGTTAACAATATCACTAAATCATTTAATGCATATATTTTACAAGCTAGGGAAATGCCAATAATATCAATGATTGAATGGATTCAGAAGAAACTCATGAAACATTTGTATGTGAAAAGGACTGGTATGGAGAAATATATTGGACCGATGGCACCAAATATACAGCAAAGACTAGAGAGACTCAAAGCAATATCTACATATTGTATTGTCGTACCTGCAACTGAAAAAATAAATAAAGAAGCATGGCATGGGAAGTCATTCTCCTCTGATATTGAGGAAAAGCATTGCAGTTGTCGAGTTTGGGGATTAATAGGAATACCTTGTGTCCATAGAATTGCAGCAATCAGATATTAGAGAAAGACACCAGAAGACTTTGTTGACCAATGTTTATCAAAGGAAACATATTTAAAGGTATATTCATCCTTTATTAGTCCTATTCTTGATCTTGATAACTATTTAGCTAGTAGGGGTTCGATTGTTATTGTGGCTCCGATTATCAAGAAGCCACCTGGTAGGCCTAAGAAGATGAGGCGAAAGCAATCTAATGAGCCTCGAAATCCTTATAAGGTGACGAGGATGAATAAACCTATCTGATGTGGAAACTGTTGTGTAGAGGGACACAACATTCGAAATTGTAAGGCATTTATCACTGGAGAAACACAAGCTCAAATGAGGACTCGACATTGAAGAAAGCAAGCGCAACAGATATCTCAACCTCCTACAAGGAGACAGAAGGTAATGGAGTATTATACAATTGGTTTTTGTTCTGTCTTGGAGACAGAGGTGTCCAGTCCAATAGACTGGTATGTTTATCTTGGATCTAGTGCCCTCTCCAAGGTATCTATGAAGGAGATACCCTTGAGCCAAGCAAATCACTATGCACAACGAACTAATAACGGCTTTTGCCAATAGGGTGTGTGTGTGTGCGAATAGTGATAGCATAACAATAAGGGAGAGAGCATAATGTACCTTTAGGGTTTACCTTTTATTTATAGAGG